CATAGACGTCTATCTAATAAAATTACGTCTAATAGTCTTACATAGCATGTTGTAGATTAGTAAGTAGATCTTATAATTAAACTGCTTCTTCTATGTATTAATAAGCTGTAATTTGCTACTGTTAATAGTGTGCTTATTAGCTAGAGAATTACCTTTATAAATTATAATAAAGCTAGCAAGTTAGGCCTTATTACTATTATGCTGTTGCAGCATAGCCACTGCGTTACTTATAGATCTATAGTTGCAGAGGACATGCTTAATCTCTTCTAGCTTAACATAATGTCCTTAGATTTTAATCTGCCTATCTATGCAGCTAAAGAACTCTAACTAGCTATTTATAGAGCAATAGGAGACATAGTTGCCTGTATAATAAGCTTTAGCAGTCTAGCTAGCAACTATAACTGTAATAAAGCAATTAATGTCTAGCTTAGGATCTGTGTATCCCTAGGCTACACTATTACCTGTAACAATTGTAAGGCCGAGATGGTGCTTACGTGCGACGGGTATATATACTATTCTGTACGCAATAATTAACGTTAGTTAATTATTCGCACCTTTTTAGTTGTATTAGCGTAGTGGTACAGAGCTCCGTCCTTACAACAATAAGCTTTTTAATAACTCTAAGTAGTATAAGTCTTAGGTTTAAATCTATAACATAGGCGCTAGAATTACTAAGTGCGCAGCTAATAGGCACACTATTAGTGCAGTTCTTATTCTTATGTAGAATAAAAACTATGCTAAAGGTTGTATTCTTAGTTAGGCTATAGCTATTAATAAACTTACTTATTAGAAAATTTCTTACTATTAAAAAGTTACTTAAATAAAGTGCTTTACCTTCTATGTAAAGTATAGAGAGCTTAAAGAGTACAGCTAGAGATTCTAAGGCGTAGTGTCTAAACAAAAAGGGTGTTAAAAATGCTGTGCAAACATTATGCTGCCTAAAAGTATATAAGACATCCTTAGGTTCTAACACTGCTATTACATTAAGGCAAATAAGCATGCTGCTATTTAAAAGACAGCTATATATCTTCTATGTTAACACATTAAACACAAGGTTTATTATGTGTGCTATTACTTAAGAGGCTAAAAGGTGCTGCACTAAGTTATTATCTCTAACTAATTACATAATGCTGCAGTGTTCTACTATAACTCCTTTAGGCTAGCCTGTAGATCCTAAGGTAAACATAACATAAGCAAAACTAGTTGCTAACAGTCTAATAACTTTAGCATATATAAAAATTACTAAATTATTATAAGCCTGCTTATCTAGAGTGTCTATAATCTATATAAACTTAACATTACTTAGCTGTAGGTCTAAAGAAGAGTTATCTGCTTTAATAAAAATAATTCTTTAACCTAGAAGTAAAGAAAGTATAGTTTTTATCCTTTTTCTAAAGATTTTAACATTAAACAGCAAGTATGCTAGATAGGCCTTAAGGATGCCTAGGAACGCAACAATAGCTAGATAGCTGCAACTTGCATACACACCTACTAGACTTTTATAAGTAAATAACTACTTTGCTAGCTACTAAGTAAAAAAGTTAGACGCCTTGCCTAGCTAAGCATAGCTTATCTTTATAAAAGTATCTTTTATAGTAATCTGTAATAGATAGGCAGAAGCTTGCTAGCAGAAAAGGTTAACAATACTTAACTTGCGCAGGTAGTCTGTCTTTTTAATATAAACAAGGCCTATTATGTTAAGCTTATAATAATTAGTGTTAGTTAATAATAAAATTAAGGCAACTATTACCTTTAGCTTCTTAAGACATGCTTTTAGAACATTAGAATAAAGTAATAGCATGTTATTAATTATCTCTAGAGCATAAAAGTTAGTTAAGTAAAAGACACTACCTTATAGTCTGTCTAGCTGTTAGAAGAAGTAGAACTTAAGATTAAACCTAGAGGTTATTGTAGTGTATAATCCTTCTATTTCTACACTAGCTAGTGTTAGCTGTCCTAAGTTTTG